CCCGGAGAGGTGAGTGGCGCCGCCGCGCGCTCGCTCCTGCCCTGCGTCCTCGCCCCCTCTGCACGGCTCCTGAGCCTCGGTGCTGTGGCGGCCCCCGTCCCGGAGTGCGCGGGCGAGCGGCCGGCAGCGCCTCCCGTACCTGTTGGCACCGGCACCCCGCACCCACCTGGGCGGGCTGGGGACCCCCGGAGCCACCTTGCCTCCTTCCGCTTGCCGGGGAAGGGCTGCGGCTTCCTCGAGTGTCCCGGGACGCTGCGGGCAGGACGCTGAGCCCCGGGTGCGGGTGGCCACTAGGTTGTGCGCCCCCGCCCGCGGGCAGTGGGAAGGGAAGGGAAAGGGACCCGGGAAGCCGCGCCGCAGCCCAGGTGGGAGATCCGGCAGCTTCCAGGTCTGCCGGGAGCTGGAGGCATGGCGAGCGGGGGAGGCAGGGTTCCCTCCACCTCCGGCCGCCCGGGCGCTCGCTGCTACCCGCCACCCGCTCCAGCTCCGCGCGCCCCGGGGCGCACGGGCTAACCGGAGGCCTCGGCATTCGTGTTCGGACTTGGCCCCTGGGCTCCGCTAAGCGGCTGGATGGGTAGGGTGCCCGGGCAGGGGTAGGGTGCCGGGCCGGGGTGGGTGGCTGGGCTGGCGCTCTCCAGGGCGGGCTGGGTTTCGGCGGGTGCCCAGCCTCCTGGACCAACGCGACGGGGAGTGAACTTCTCAGACTTGGCCTGAGGGCGCCTAGGCAGCAGCAGGTAGTTCTGGGTCGGCCTGGGGCTCAGGTAAGCGGAGGACGCCTCACAGCAGCGGGCAGGTGGTGCGGGGCGCGCACCGAGGGAGGCGGCTCGCCTCCAGGTTGCCCGCCACGTGCGCCCTCGGCCGCCACCCCCTGCATGATTTCCAGCTGTTCATTTCTCTTGGAAGGAAAGCGCTTTCCTTCATTTGTGCCTCAGCCATTAGCTCAGGTGCATGGGCCGCTGCAGTTCCTAGGGTGTCAAGATTGGGGCGCCATCCCCAGGCCCCGAGCCTATTTTTCGCAGGGAAAATAAAGCAGACTTTTTGGGCTCAGAGAACAGCAGACCAGTGTCGGCTATGGAGTCTGATTAGGGGTGATGCTGCTTGCATTTGAAAGTGGCCCAATGAGGTGACCTTCCCTAGAAAGAATAGGTGGATTTCTGCCCCGTGTGTGTCACGCATTTCCACAGTCCTAACTGCTGTCCTGCCTCTTTACCTGCCGACTTTCAGTCGCGGGGATAAACTGCTTCCCCGTTCAGACAGGCGTCAGAGCGTTGGACAGGGTTGTAAAGCCACTGGGTGTGAAATTGTCTTGAGGCTGGAGCACGACACGTCTGCTCAGAGCAGCGCAACTCCAGCTTTCCTCTTGGCTTTGTGCTTGTTGTTGTTGGTTTTCCTTTCCTTTTTGCGGGGTGGAGGAGGGGTCTGGGGAAGAAGAATGTGGATCTGTTGTTGTTTTGGGGTCTGTGCATACCAGGCAGATGCTTCACCAAGCTCCAGCCACAGGGCCTGCGGTGGATTTTTATTTGCTACCTGTGCTGGGGCGGTGTGGGCTGAAGGCTGGGTGCCTGGGCTTGCAGCTCTGAGTCTTGCCCCAATTAGGATCTGTTCTTGGGTTCCAGGAGTTGCACAACTTTAAAGTTGTGCCCCAGGTGGGTCGGTGGGGTCCCCAAGAACACCCCTGCTGGAAGCCCAACAGAGAGGCTCCCCTTTCTGGCCTTGCTGTGCCCTTGGGGGTTTTCCTGGCAGTAGCTTGGCAAAGAGGGGCTGTATTTCCCGAGAGGCTGGTTCTGAAGTCGGTTACTGGGTATATCCAGGTGGAGTAATGAGAACTAAACTCTTTGGAAATCCAATCCCTTGGACACTTATTAGAAGAGAGCAAAATCCTCTTAGAACTGTTCACCAAGATGTCACCTTTCCTTGAACTCTGCCAGTTAACTCTTGCTGTAACCAGGCCTTCAGTGAGGAGGCAGGATAAGGACTTGTTAGAATGAAGCTCATTTATTTCAGCCGGTTCCTATGAGAAAATGCTGGGCAAGACTTCATGGGGACGCAGGACTATTTGCTCCGTAAGGGGTGAAGGGGGACACGGGGACGGGCGCTGCTCTTTGTTGAGTTTAACATTTATGCCCTGGATAGGGGGCCTTTGATCAGGGCTTAAATATCGGGCAGGCTTGCGGTTCAGTTTAGAAGTCCTTTATCATAGCGAGTGGGCTTGGGAGGAACCCGTGCTCCAGGGTCCCTGTCCCTGAGCCTGCCCGGGACCGAGCGGTGTTCTTACCACACCACTCGGGGCTGAACCTCTGCAGTGTTAGTTGGGTGGCAGAAGGGGGCGCTAGTTCTCACGATCAGGAAATTATGGCTCTGATAAACTTTGGCCCTTTGAAGGCTCTGAAGACCCTCTTAATTTTCTGAGACTCAGCTTGCACACATTTGAGCTCATGCGATCCTTGTTTTCCATGTTGGGAAAGTGAAGTGAAGTTCATGATCCTAGGATCGCAGACTTAGGGATATGCTTTGATTCCAAGAAGCTTTCTGATTTTGCAGCCAGGCCTCTTTGCACACTGCTTGCTTATGATATGAAAAGGGGTGTAGCTGGGCGTGGTGGTGCACATCTGTAACTACAGCTTTCCTGAGGCTGAGGTAGGAGGATCGCAAGTTCAAGCCCAGCCAAGGCACAACTTAGCAACTTAGTGAGACCCAGTCTCAAAATACAAAATGAAAAAGCCCTCAGTGTGAAGGCCCTGGGTTTCATCCTCAGTAATGTGCACACACAGATACTCACACACACGCACACGCCCAAGGCTGTAGTGATCTTTGACCAGCAGTATTTTGTTAGACACACAGGGGGTGCCCTGTCTGTCTTTGAGTTTGTTGAGTGAGTCTGGGTTCACCTCAAGTGCCTCATTCCTGATGAGGAAACTCAGGGGCAAAGAGGCTGTGACTGGCGCAGGTGTCTGGGGAGGAGGCAGAACTTCATGCCAAAGCCCTTGCCTTGCCCCTTGTGGCCTCCCTGGAGCCCGGTGTAGATCTGAGCCCAGCCTGGGTGGATTGCCGGCTTCCCCTTTGTTGTTATTATTATTTGCAGTTCCTTCGCTGTAGCAGTGTTGGTCTGGGATGGGTGGCATTTTGCCCTTCACTCGAGGCTTGAGCGAAGGTAGTCAGAGGGTTTGAAATGTGTGATGCTGACTGAGATCCGTCAGGCAGAGTGAGCAGGAGTAGCCTTGGAGCTGCTAAAACACCGTGAGCCCTGACTCTGAGCCATGAAACCATTGTTCAAGATTGGCAGGGCGCTGGCTGCTCCCGCAGAACCGTTTGAGGATAATTCTGATTGTGGTTAGAAAGGAGGGAATGAAAATAAAATCGCTGCGTCTAGCCTGGGGTTTTCGAAATGAATTATGTTTTTCATCATTTAACACCTAACCGAAATTTATTTGGTGCCTGTTACAAGGTGCAGGTAGAGAGGAGGGTGAGGCACTGCCTATCATGAAAGGGTTCACAGATTATTGGGAAGGCAGACCCCGTGTGAGGGACTTACATCTGTGCTCAGACTGGAAGGTAGCTAGGGGAAGAGGGAGGGAGAGGCTGGGCTGAGCGTAAGGAGTGACCCGGAAGTGGTCGTGCTCATGGTGGCTCTGAGGCAGAGGAGGGGTGGGCAGAGGTCAGCAGCGCATGAAGAGGATGGGAAGCAGCTGGTAGTTTGGAGTGCTGAAGGGTTGAGACAGGAGGAGGGAGGGAAGCTGGAGTGTTTGCTCAGCACCTGGGCTCTGCATTTCTCTGCTAAGGGACGAGCAACGTGGTCGCATGTGGCCTTGCGAGACCAGGGGCGTGGCTATCAGCGAGGCCAGAGCTGAAGAGCTGGCAGGCATGAGTGGGTCACGTGTGGGAGCTTGAGGGGGACAGCATTTAGGGGAACTGTCCATTAGGGTCCCAGGGTTGCAAACGACAGGAACTAAGCCTGCTTAATAACTGAAGCAAAGAAGAAAATGCATTGCAAGTATGGGTGGAGAGCTGGGCGTGGTGGTGCACACCTGCGATGCCAGCACTGAGGAGGCTGAGGCAGGAGGATCGCTGCAAGTTCGAGGTCAGCCTGGGCTACCTAGTGAGTTCAAGGCCAACTTGTACTACACAGTGAGACCCTAAGAAACAAACAAACCTGCTCAAGTATTGGTGGAAGATCACAGGACAGAGGCACGCTGAGAGTCAAGTGTGCAGCAGATAGGAATTAGTTAGCCAGCCGTGGGATCTAGGTGGCAGGGTCTGCTTGTGGCCTCTCCCCGGAGATGTTGTGGAAGTAAATGTTGTCCAACCTCTTTTTTTTTTTTTTTTGGTTAATTTTTTTTTTGGATTATGATGATGCTTGGGTTATTCTGCATTCAAAATGCTGATTAATATCGCTTAGGGTCCTTGTGTCTACAAGTGGTTTTCTGAAAGGTCATTGTGAGTAAGTTTCCTGGGGTGATTCTGCTAAGAGATGGTGACCCTAATGTTGAGCATGTCATCCCCAGAAGGAACGTTGGCAGGACTTAGTATTGGTGAGGGAGCAGGTGACAGGGAAGGATGAGGTGTGACCAGTGGGTTTCTGGTTTGGGTAACAGGGTGCAGAAGCAAAACCTAAGTCCAACCAAGACAAAAGAACTGGTTGATTTTTCCCACCAGCAGGGCTATGGGCAGTGCGTCAGGATTAGGTTGTAGGAGAAGGTGGTGACCTATTTAAAAAAGTCTCATTAAGGGGCCGTGCTGCCCTGAAGGAGGCCTGGGAAAGTAGGTTGCTTTGTCTCATGGCCCACAAATCTGGATAACTCTGAGAACATGTCCATTCACCCAGTCCGTGTGTCCTGAGTTTAAATCCTGGGGAAAATAGTGAGTTAGACCGAGATGCTACTCACACACTTTCGAGGTATAAGACATAAAGAAGTACAAAACTGAAATAAAATGACAGGGTGTAATTAAGTAGCCCGGGGTGTTTCAGATGGGGTAGGCAAGAAAAAGCTCAGCGAGGAACTGTATTTGGGGTGACCCTGGAATGACATCAAGGGAGAAGCTGGGGGCAATTGGGAAGAAATTTTAGGAGAGGGGAACAGACCGTGTGAATGTTCCGAGGCTGGAGGAGCTGGGCGCATTGGAGGAGTAGGGAGGGGGCTGGCGTGGCAGGAGTTAGCTCACATGGTTGCCGTGTGCAGTTTGGGTGTGCTACTGCGTCTCATGGCAGCCTTGGAGGGTTTTAAACAGGTTTGTGACGTGATTCTTTTTTTTTTTTTTTTTTTTTTTTTTTTTTTTTTTTT